CTTGGATTATCACAGTCCGAGCTACAGATGGTGGAAAATCGCTAAACTGTCACTCCTGTTAATAACACACAGTGTGCCCTGCAGGTTGTTGTTTTGGCCGCAAGACACATTAAAGTCTTGATACAGAGCAGAGTAGACCATTGATTTAAAGTTTAAATGAAACAGATAAGAGATTGTCTGTTGATCAGAGAAGGGCTACTTTGAGGCAGTGGAGGGCCATAAAATCCATTACACATTAACAAGCCATACATTTAATCTATCGGGCTGCATAATAAAATTATTCAAGGTAAAATTACTGTACACAGCACGTTAACAAACTGTCGTGTACTAGTTTGTGAAAGTTGAGACGTCATTCGCTTCGAAATGACGCGTTCTATCTCGTTTGACATTAAACCAAAAGCCTAGGGACCGTTCTCAAATTAAAATAAAATCATGATAACATTTTACAGTTCGCAAAATTAACAATATTGCAAACACTAATTTCTTTTTACCATTTTCTCACAAATCATAAATATATTTCAGTTTACAAATATCAAATAGTGTATTAAATTCATTATTGTAGTATTTTCATTGGAAAGAAAGTGACAAATTATACGTTTCGAAATTATATTTTTTATACAAGTATTTGAATGTGGAACTGAAACTAAACGTTTTAATCGAGTGGTACAGATATTTATATAGGATTAACACGCCGACTTGCAAATTTTCTGGCAGTTGTCCATTCCTGACTTAGAGCATTATCTTACGACCAATTCACTTTAATATCAAGTTATCAACTCGGAAAATTGTATAGTACTAAAGTATGACTTATAAAGACTGCCTCGGTTCATGCATGCCTCGTACAAAATCAGGTTTCTGTGTTTGGGTGTCTGTTATTAAGCCCGATTTCGGTGTTTAGGCGTCTTTTTAAGTCTGGTCTTTGCGTTTGATTTTCTGTTATTAAGACTGGTTTTTAGTGTTTGATATAAAGTCTGGTTTCGTTGTTTGATACACACAGTCTGGTTTCGGCGCTTGCGTGTGAATTCCGAATCTGTCCCAGTTCAAGATTGAAAGAAGTAATACTAATTCTATAAAACTTTTAGGTCGAGGAGAACTGGGAATTCTTGATGATTGACTTTTCATATGATTTCAAAATATCATTAACGTTGATACTTTGTTTACGATAATAGAATCCTACTAACGTACTACTGATTTACCTGTATTTGTGGTAGTTTGATCTGTTAAAAGGAGACTTACTAGGAACTGCTGACGAGTTAACCTTTTAGCTCAGCAAGCAGAATATTTCTTTGGGGTGCTAATGTTCAGGGTTAGAACCTAGGACGAAGGAGAAAAAAAAAGAAGAAAGATTACCACGTACCAGGTCCCAAGTGAGAGGGGAGGGTACAATATACTAGCGCCTGGCGGTCCAAGTTGCCTAGCGGTCACAAGTCCATTTACCGTAAGAGAGAAGTCCAGGCTAAGTTGTATGTATATGACCAAAAATTGTACCCACTTTTGCTTTATAGCCTCGTGTATCTATATTTAAATACATTTGAAGTTGGTAACATTGGATATTGCAGCCATTTTGGCTTCCATCTTGTGAACAAGTGAAGTGTTGGCTGTTGCTTGAGTTTTACTTGGTGGTATTCCTGTTGTGGTTTTATAAATCTACCTTGAATGCATGGCTATAGTTAACTATGAGGCCACCGAGGTCCGGTCCTTCTTTTAGTCAAAACTCCCAAGATTTAAATCTTGATTTGTCATGAATACTCCGATTAACTTTGACTTTTCTTTACTTCTGAAGAAAAGATAAATAATAATAATAATAGAGCTTCAAAAGTAGGAATTACCATGAATGCATGACCGTAGCTAGTTATGAGGTTCGTACCTGAGTTAAAATTTGAAATTAAATGTATTATTTAGTTTTACACCCGTATTGAAAAGGTATACAATGCGTAAGGTCAATGTCTGGGTAAATTTTCACTATAGCTTTTTTTGGTGATTTTTTTTATACAAAGTATTTAAGTGTATGGTTTCCTTATTGATGATTCATAAGAACTATTTTTTCTCCATTTATATACAAAATTATTTTTTCAGGTGTACACTGCCAGCATGTGGATCAATACACCTGTAATCATATTAAAATATAAGCACTCAAATTCGTAAAATATTTCAAGTCACAAAAATGTTTTCAAACATTACATTAAGGTTAGTTTGTGTTAACACGTTATCGGTATATAGTTGTTGTTTGTAAGTAGTAATCATGTTCATCTAAATTAGTTTTTTTGTCACTTTATATGAAGAAAAAGAAAGTGGAAATTGGAATATCGAGTGTGATAAAAAAAAAGTCGTATCCTTAAAAATAGTTTGTGGGTACAAAAAATTATAAACAGTGAGATTTATTGTATTTCTCGCCAAAGAAATCTTTTGCTAGAGTGATTCGGAATATTGTATTCAAATTGGATCGTCTTTGATGATGGCCTTGTGATTAGCATTCTATGTTGAGTATCAAATTGTCCAAGGTTCGAGACGTGATATCGCTTAACCCATTGACTGCTGATTCGTCGTTTAGGGTACGATCCGCCTCCGGCAGTTGAATGCGAGTGTGATGTGTACAGTGTACGGCTCACAAACATTCCTCACGCGATTAAAGCAGCCGTAGTCAAAGGGGTTAACTTAACGGTTTCACACTTTCAGTTGCAGGTGCGTTAAAAACTAGCAGTCAAACCTGTTATTCTGAACAGTGAATTTTACAGAGCCCTAATGACGGCGGGTGCTGTTGGCCCTTCGTTTCAGAATGTGCTTGGCGAATACAGTTGGGGCGATTTTACAAAAATCTCAAAATGAATTTGTGTTTATGAGTATAGGATTATGCTATATTTTGCGATTTTATAACTATTATCATGAATTATATAAAAATTGGCACACTGATACGAGTTATTTTGTATAAAGCTGGTTAATATCACTAATTCCTGTGTAGAACACTGGGAACCAGTAATAATAGTATTAATTGTAGTATTGATGGCATTTTTAAAAACGTTTTATGCGACATACGTTATTAAGGACCCAGTAACTAACAAAGTCATGAACCAGTTTCTCAATATAGGAACCAGTAAGTAATGGGATTAATCGTAGTATTGACGTTTTTTTTATGTGACATATATTATTATTATTTAGGACCCTAGAACCAAGAAATTCACAAACAATTTGTTGCATAAATAGTTTAGAGAAATTTGCTTAAAAAACCGATAGGGTGATTGACCGTTACTTAAGTAAGGGTTACATACTGGCGTTGAGAAAATCTCGTAAGTTGTTCAGTTATTTAACCCCAGTGTAGTCGTGGCGATATTTAGTACAATATAATGTCGGAGATTAACTTAATTATCTTGAGAAAAAAGTAGATTATAGCTGTTAATGAATCGAACGCGGTGGATTATTCAGCGTACTCGATTGTGAGGGACATTTTGGGGCCATGATAACGTAATAAGAATGACAGTCAAATCCTACTATTCGATTAGAATAACCCGAGATTTGGCGGTGGGTGCTGCCTTCCTTCTAGTTTATTCGTTCACAAGTAGCGGATGGCTAGCGCAGATAGCCCTCGTGTAGTTTTGTGCGAATATCCGAAACAAAATCATTTATTTCAATTCAAGAGCCGCTAACTTAAATCTCTTAAAGTTTCACGAAACTAGCTTAGAGAAGAAAGGGGGCTGCGGAAATACTAAATAAAGTTTGCTATTTTTACCTCTAGGCGTCTACCTTTGAAACTTTATAAGTATAACTTAATCTTTGTGTGATATTTTTCATCTTCTGTGGTAAAGATGTATCCTTATATAGCGGTTGACTTGGATAATAGTACATGAAACTTGTGGACCAAAGGCACGTGGAGAAAGGGGGCGTGTGACCTCTCACTGTCCGCTTTCTCTCGTTTCAGTCTTGGGGAATGTAACTAGAGACAATCGGAATGGTGTCAGGTGCTGAAGCAGAGTGACAAACCAGCTCAGTTCCTGGTGTCTTATCACCGTGGCCTCGTTTCACACAGCAGACAGACCTCGGGCAACAACTACACACTAAGATTCTGCAAAGGCTGTTGCGCTTGTGTATGTGATTGCTGTCTCGTCACACTAACATAGTTAGTGTTATGTATGAAAATGATTAATTTACGAATTGTGATGAGTTTGTTTTGCCTTAAACAACTCTTGTCTCTGCAAGTCACATTACCGACCCCATGTCGGATATTGTTGAACTTTTACCGAGTGACGTGTATCCAACGTCACCCAACATTCAAGTTTCACTATTAAACGATCTGATATTTGAAACTGTGTTCAGAAATACCTGACACGGTTTAAACGATACTTTCTCTGCCGCAGATTATTTTAGATAAATGTGATTCAACTGAGCCCTAGTTCTGACCATTCTTCGAATTTATATTTTAATTGATTTGGTTAACACACTTTTATGCCGTAAGAGGGAGTAAAATTGATAATAAAACTATGTCAAGGCTTACCGATAGTGTTAGTGTGTCAGTATTTCCGTAAAATAATTTAAACTGAAGAAAAAATTCCATTCTCACGCAAAATCATATTATACTTGAGAACATCAATATCTCATTCCCTGTTTTTCAGGTGAAACTCGAGACAAGCCCAGTGGGGGTGAAGAATTTTCACCTTTGTCAAAAAACTTCCTCTCTCCCGTCGCTAGTTCCGAATGCACGACAGAGCGGGAGAATTCTGCCAATGATTTCGTGCAGAGCCCCCAGAATTGGACTAACGGACCTAGTGTGAGCTCGAACGATGTATCGTTGGATGGAGCCACACCACCATCAAGCGAATTAGAAGAGACTCAAGTTACACAGAGTATAACCAATAATGTAAATAAATTCACTGAAACATCTTTGGTTTTAGGTTTTGGTAATCAAAATTCCAGTTTTCCAAATAGCGATGATTGCGCCCACAAACATACTTGGAGTAAGCAGGTTAGTGATACTGAGACAGAAGTTAAGGCCAGTGAAGAGACGACCAGGCACTCAAAGAAGAGATATCACCTTCGACTTGAAGGTCATCCAGGATCTGCTACGAGTCATGACAGTCCTTCTGCCAGAACTATTGAACGCTTTGACAACTTCGATTCGAGTTCTTCAGCAAGTAGCACAGACTCTTTACCTGGAACTCCAGATGAAGCTACCTTCCAGCCATGCTTTACGTTTAAAACTCCATCAGGACGCACCGAAAAGGTAATGACAGTTTTGTTTTGTAGTTTCAACAAGCATAATAATTCTGGTACAATTGTACCCGAATTAAATGTGTTTATACAAGAAGTAAAAATAACATTGTTTGTTAGGTGGGTCAGTGCCTTGCATACATCTTAGTTATAAAGGTTCTTATGGCTTTTTTGATTTTACAAATAGTTTGTGTAAGAGATCCAGTCATTTTGCTACGTAACCTAGGTGATGTCCAGAACTTGTTATTCAGAGAAAGCTTGGTTAGTGTCACTTATACAGAGTTGAGTAATATAAAAATATTAAAACAATTTTGCATGGTTAAATCACAAGTCAATTGACACCCATGGCCCATATAAAGTTGTGAGGGTACAGAATGTATCAAAACAACATTTCACATTGTTTGCCATTTCATAGGTTGTGTAAGGCCATTGAAAACTGAATATTTTGGAATGGATATATATGTAACAGCTCTTTCTGATGCAAAGTATTTATACACTCAGATCACAAAGATGTGTTCACTCTGAGATTTTTAATTTACAATAGAGGACATTACTTGTACTTAATTAAAAAACAAGGGAATATGGATCAACTTGGGACATCAGGACCATCCAGAAAGAGACTTGCAACAAGTCAAACCCCAAACCATGGTAAAAAAAGTGCAGCATCTTGTAACAGGTGAATATCTTCAATTTCAAAAATCAGTGGCATTTCCAAGGCAACAGAATGAAGAAGAATCTCCATCTGGAAAAGAGACACAAGTTAGTGTATACAATTTGCTTCCACAGCAACTATTGCATTCCTCAAGCAGCTGGAGAATGAAATGGGTATTCATGGTACTCCATATGAAAACACATCAAAATGCAGTGCCAATGGATTTCTTTGCAATTGGATTGTTGAAAAGGGCACTAGGAAACCATTTTCCTTGTAAACTAGATGGATTATGTAAAGCCCATAATGAGGATTGGTGTCCTTTGGACATAACAGTCTTAGGACAACTTTTTGCAATGGAAAATACACTGTTAAGATGTACTGTCATTAGAAAGCACAATTGGATATGGGGATGAGGTTCCCATACAATTTTAATATAATGTACTTGAACCTCTGTATTGGAATTAGTACAAAAAAATGAATTTTTGAGAGTTATGTTTCATCAGGATTGTTATATATATACATATATAAATAATTATAATGTTTGATTTGAATTAGCATTACTTTATAACATTTAGATAGACATTAAAATTATAAAACAGTCAAGTTTCTCATTTATTTCAGCTAGTTCATCAAGCAGTAAATTAGTTACATCAGTAGATATTCAGTTCAGTTCCATGAGCATTAAAGTAGTGATATCTGTGGAGTCATGTTAGCAGACTCACACTCATAACTAAAGAATCTCAGTAAACACTGTTGAAGATACACTCTTGTTTTCTGATTTCCAATAACAATGTTCATCCCTCAGCTTTGAAACTTGTTGATGTAGCGTGTCTTATCAAGATTCCTGGTGTTTGTACTATTGATTCCTCTGATACACATCAACATTACAAACATACTTTAGTGGTATTCACCATAACTCTTGGAGAACTTGCAGGCAGAACTTCTCCACCATCATCGATTCATCTAAAGCTATTGTTGTCATATACATAGCTGGTTTATAAGTTATTGAATTCTTACATCAGTTAAATATGTTAAGTAAAATATAATGCACAGACGTTTTTCATATATCGTTTGAGGGGTTTCCCATATGTTGTATGAGGATTTTCCTACATGTTGTATGAAGGTTTTCCCACACATATGAGGATTTTTCTACACATTGAATGAAGGTTTTTCTTCACATTCTGTTTGAGGGATTTTCCACATTTTATTTTAGGGTTTTTCCAAATGTTGTGCGATGTTTTATTTGGAAAAACATCTATGCATTTTATTTTACTTAGCTTAAATCCCACATTCATTATGAATTTAAAACATTATTCATGAAATATAGTAATTATATGGAGAGTGGACGTAACATTATCCTTTATCCACTATTGAAGTACATGTCCTGAAAAAATAAAAGCTAAACATTTTTAAGCAATATGTTTTCAATATTTATTGAACCCATAATCCCATTAGATGTTTCAGTGTAATACTTCTAGAGAGAATGAATAGTGGTACTCAAACCAGGGGCTCTAATTAACAATATTAGTGTTCTGTTACATGAGAAATCTCATAATCAACACTTAAGTCTCATCTACTTCTGATAACTATGCTAAAGATGAAAGTCACCATGAAAAATGTAGATAAAACAGTATTACTTTGTTAACTTTTGAAGTTACAGAACAACCCATCAGTTTCAATGCTTTTATTGTAAAACCTCTGATCATCAGCTTAATAATGTATGTCTCTTTGACCATGGTTGTTTTTATTGAGTCGAATGACTGTTGCAGGAAAACTGAATTTGAACATTTCTTTTTTGTTTTTTAGTAGAGCAAGAGATGTAAAGTGCATTTCTTTTATACCGATTTACAAATATTTAATAAAAATTAAACCCGTTTTCATTACAGATCAAGGCCTATTCAAGACCATTGTTTTACACCCTCGTAGAAGGTGATGACGAGGAGAGTGAAAGTTCTGTAGGCAGCAGCTTCATTGATGAAAAGAACCCTTTGGTAGCCAATGACATTGTTATCCACGTGCCAAACTCTCTCCTGCCATCAACCTTGCCAGAAAATCAGGTCTCTGCTATTTCTTCCCAAGATCTTTCTGAAGTAGAAATAACAGACGAAGCAGTAAAAGAGTCAGAATTGTGTGATGAAGGCACACTGAAACAAGGAGAGGAAGATGGGGAAAACATCTATGAGTGTATCAAAACTGAACCAATTTATGAAGAACTTCCAGAGAAATTGGAACATAATATAGGTAGTGTAAGTTAAGTGTGTCCCATGTAATGACAAGATCTATGGAAACATTATTGAAATGATTATTTAGTACCTAGCATTGTTACAAAAGAAAGTGTTGTGATTTTTAGTATCTGTCATTGTTATGAAGTAAATTTCTTCTTTTTGTATCTAGCATAGTTATATTGGAAAGTGTTTTTGTGTTTCTTTAGCATATAGTGTTGTTATAAGGAACGTTTTATGTCTCTTTAGCATATAGTGTTGTTATAAGGAACGTTTTATGTCTCTTTAGCATATAGTGTTGTTATAAGGAACCTTTTATGTCTTTTTAGCATATAGTGTTATAAGGAAAATTTTATGTCTCTTTAGCATATAGTGTTGTTATAAGGAAAGTTTTTTTGTCTCTTTAGCATATAGTGTTGTTATAAGGAAAGTTTTTTTGTCTTTTTAGCATATAGTGTTGTTATAAGGAAAGTTTTTTTTGTCTCTTTAGTATATAGTGTTGTTATAAGGAAAGTTTTTTTGTCTCTTTAGTATATAGTGTTGTTATAAGGAAAGTTAGGCTTCTTAAGCATATAGTGTTGTTAGAAAAGAAAGTTTTGTGTTTCTGCAGTATCTAGCATTGGAAGGAAAAGTGATGTATTTCTTTTGTATTTAGTAGTGATATGAAGGAAAGTATTGTGTTTACTTGCTATCTAGCATTGTTACAATAGTAAAATTGTTGGGTTTCTTTAATATCTCACATTGGAAGGAGAAGTGGTGTATTTCTTTAGTACTTTTCATTGTAATGAGTTGTCTATAGAAATAGGCATTAAATATTTTTGTGTGTTTATGTCTTTCCAACAGAAGAACAATGTTAGCATGAATGAGAAGTTTATGTTTAGGGTTACCCGTCAAAAGTACATTCTAGTATGAAATTAAGAGCAGCAATACTAACTTGCAGGTTTGCACCCCTTGGACTCCCCACGGAAGTCGTTTTTTGAGGGTGCCTCTAAAGCAGAAATTCTCAGTTACTTGGAAGTTGCCAAAGAAAGAGGTTTGGAAAATTTAATCGAAGGACATACTGAACTTCTGGTAGTAGATGAAGTGGTAGAACCTGAAGACAAACCAGAGCCAGAGGTGAGTATGCAGTACAGAATATCTGGAACATTTTTTTTTTCTTCAATATTGTTTTCTTAGAAAAGTTCAACTGTCTTTTAAATAACAAGATAAATATTACTAATAATGTATCATATGATAATTGGAAAATGTATTTCTTATAATAATAATTTTTGCATAAAGGTGTATTAACAATCACTGCTTAATTTGGTCATGTTGCGAGGATAAGAAATGTGACATTAAAAATAGTAAATAGTAATATGCTACAACAGGCATGCTCTAACTGCTGTAATAGAAAAGCATCGTCCAGCACCTGCTGTGTAATAATAGATAAAGTTATATAAACATATTTTCACAGTAGAAAAATATGTTGTCAATCAGTGTTAATATTCACCTTAAAAAGTATTCACCTTTGTCAGGACCTTACCTCAGGTGTATGGAGTATCAAATTTTCTTAACTGTTCTTAATGAACTACCAAGAAATATAAAAAAACAATTGGTACCCTACTTGGAATTCCAAAAAGAACCACCATGGAGCTCCAGTAAATATCTGTCAAATTTTATTCCTGGTCTCAATTAGTAGCTTCCAAAAAACTATTGGTACCCTACTTAGAATTCCAAAAAGAACCACCATGGAGCTCCAGTAAATATCTGTCAAATTTTATTCCTGGTCTCAATTAGTAGCTTCCAAAAAACTATTGGTACCCTACTTAGAATTCCAAAAAGAACCACCATGGAGCTCCAGTAAAAATCTGCAGAACTTCACTCTTGGTATCAATTTGTATAGAAAAAAAGTCAGTGTATTAATTTATGCAAATCCCTAGGCCTGATAAAGTATTAGTTTATAGCTAAGAGGATTCTCTAACTTATATAAAGTATAGACATATTGTTAGCTATTTTCTAAGTACATTTTAATTTTACTCCCTATAGTCATATAAATTATAAGTTATTTTAGTTCAGACTTAGTTCACCACTCCTCATTGAAAGAAATAATAATAACCTTATAGCTTCAGAAAGCATCGTTTTTCAAGGGTTTGTACAAGCTGGAAATAATACAGGGTAATGCAAAAGTAATTCAATCTTCTTCCTATAATTGTTTGGAGGTTTTCCACTGGATTTTTTTACTGGACACAGAAAACCTGTTTCATGAAACTTGGGAGGGTATTACTAATACTTGTGGAGTCTCCCAACTAGGTTGTTCAAATTGACCTGCTTATGATTCAAAACAAGATCACTTCAACACATTATCTGTGGGTTAATGACATCCTAGCCAATTGTTATTGTAACAAAATATAAAAATAGACTGTTAATTAAATACAAAAAAAATGAACTTAGAAAAATCATAGCAAGGGTGAGACTTTCAAATATTATTGTAGTATGTCACTTTTGCAACAACATGTGTAAAGGTTTAGAACAGATTTTAAGATCCTTGTTATTTCTTTAAGTTACATCGTTTTTAGAAATTAGCCAACAAAGTGAAAGTTTTTACTCGAGAAGAGAAGCAGAACCTTGATTGATGTAGGTGGGTTAGGTTCAGTTACAGTTAGATTGAATTCATTAGAAAAGGTTTAGTTTTGGTTTCTTTTTTTTTCCTTCATTCAAGTGAACAGAAATGGATGAATAATACAAAATACAATTAAATTGGAAATTCAGGTTTCTTTAGTTATACTTTACAGATATCGTTAACAAAGCTTGAATCTTTGGTTTGACTCTACAAACACTGCTGATTTAGGTTAGAAACATTGTGCCCATTCATTTTAATGACAATGCAACTGTAATCGTTTCTTTTTTTTTATGGAAGTAAATAAGATATTTGTTTTATGTATGGATATATTTTGGATAAAATTTAAATCCTTTTCATTAGTTTAAGGACATAATGATAAACCTTTTACTTTCTAATGAAAAGTGATTGTTAAAGTTTGTTTTTGTAAGTTTTAAAAGAAGAATCGAACTTTTTAAATTTCTGTTTTCAATTTAAGTGATTGTTGTAATAAGTTTCATACAATTTTTGGATTTCTATACAAATCAAAAAGGCATTAGTTTAGCAGTTGATAATTGCCACATGTTTTATGGAAACCTTAATACTTTATGATGCTTATACTGCAGTGAATCAGTTCCAGAATTTTTGTTTCCAAAACTTTCCAGAAAACATGTAGCCGGAACAACAGAAACAGAATAAGTAACTTAAGTAGCTCTAGCCAGTCAAGCAGCAACAGTGAACAGAATACATCTACTCTCCCACCTGATCAAAATCCAGAAAGTGTACAAACTATCAAGGTGAGATGCTAGTGTCACCTAGTGGTACTCTTTGAAACTATCGTATTAATATCATTAGATACGTAAATAAGCAATTATTATTTTAATTATATTTAAAAATTAAAGACGTTTTGTTTATATATGATTATATTTATATTTTTTCTAATATTTTTAAAATCCTGTTTTATATCTTTGCTTCCAGGTTTATATTTAGTGATTAACATCTTTTATCTAAAAAATTTGTAAGAGAGAAAAATTAAATTAATTTTATTATGAGAAATGAAAACAATAACTGCAGATGTATGAAAAATGCAGAGAAAAAAAACTGTCTTGAAATAAGAGATTAAAGTGAGGGGAAAGAAATAATATGAAGTGATAGATTAACACCTGTTTTGAGGATAATTTCTAACCAATGTTTATTGGACTCTGCAACTTGGGAACTGTTAAGTTTTTATTAAAGAAGAAAAACTTTTTGCCACATTTTTGTACAGTATACACATTTTTACAGATTCATGAGCCCTCTCAGTGGCAAGTTGGAGGGCTTATAGTACTAGAATTCTGGGTTCTAGACACAGTGTAAATAGCCCAAATTGTAATTTTGGAATTAAAAACAATTGGACTTTACAAATTTATAAAGATTTCGGGTGTTGATGGTGAACTTCTTGATATAAAGATAGCATTAACATGTTATTTAGTATTTCATTTGTAATGCAACTGTACTGATGGGAAGAAAAATGACAGGAGTTTATAGTTTTAGTAATATTGTAGATTGAAATTTCAGTTACTGCTTCCACCAGTTCTACGTACATAATACATGACATGTTGTAACCAGTAGTTTGTTTAGTTGTGAAATGCATAATACTTGTATGATATTTAAGGAAATAGTTCAACAACATTCTATAAAAGTCTTTCTCAGAAACGTTAGATTGTCAAGAGCTATGTAACTTTCTTGTTCTACAGTGTTTTAAAATGTTTGACTGTTTACAAAAAAAATAGTTCAACAACATTCTATAAAAGTCTTTCTCAGAATCATTAGGTTGTCCAGAGCTATGTAACTTTCTTGTTCTACAGTGTTTTAAAATGTTTGACTGTTCACAAAAAAAATAGTTCAACAACATTCTATAAAAGTCTTTCTCAGAAACGTTAGATTGTCAAGAGCTATGTAACTTTCTTGTTCTACGGTGTTTTAAAATGTTTGACTGTTCACAAAGTCGCATCCTAATCTTATTGTAGTGTATTTGAGGGCGGGGGGGGGGGGGGAAGTTCAAATACAAAGTGATAAAATATTGTGTGTAGAATGTAAATGTTTTTAATATAATTTTCCAAACTTGTTTTCTGTTGTGTCACATACTTGTTCTGTCATCACAGGAGCGACCTCTGACTGCCGAGGTTGAAAGGAATGACAGTGGAGTAGGTACAGAAACAAGTAAACCTACTCGTCTAAGACAGATTGACAAGACAGGTGGTGGAGAAGAGCAGCAATGTGCAGATTGTGAACAGCTCGTTAAACCGAGGGAAGATGAAAGTACTGGACTCTTATATTGTCCTTTGGTGTGCAAGAGGTGCGACAAAAAGCGGTGCGAGAGAAAAGAAACAATCTTAGAATTTATTGACACAGAAATTAAATATGGAAGGGATCTAAGGATAATAAAAGAGGTAATTTTTATAATCTTTCAGAAAACAATAATGCTTTCAGCTATCTGGTATAACGAATTTTACAAGTGACTGTAGCTCCTTGATTTTGTGGCTCTAGTTATTGGTTCAAAGATCAATGATTCCATTTATCAAACTAAAAAATATACACACACACACACACAGGACTAGCATTAAATAAGATTAGCAAAAATGTATATAGATAGTGGAAGAAACATATGCAAAACACATTTATGAACAAAATAAAAAAAGATCAAAGGTGGTGTCGCAAGATGACCTTGAATCTAAATTTGCTAATAATGTAATGTCATTAGGGATTGTGATTAAATGTTTGATGTCAGAGTTCATTCATGTACTTGGTGATTAGTAGGATTGTTACAAATATCCAGTATTAATGCTAAGATAGAGAATCGTATTCAACATGTCATTAGAGATTGTGGTTAAATGTTTGATGTCAGAGTTCATTCATGTACTTGGTGATTAGTAGGATTGTAACAAATATCCAGTATTAATGCTAAGATAGAGAATCGTATTCAACATGTCATTAGGGATTGTGATTAAATGTTTGATGTCAGAGTTCATTCATGTACTTGGTGATTAGTAGGATTGTTACAAATATCCAGTATTAATGCTAAAATAGAGAATCGTATTCAACATGTCATTAGGGATTGTGATTAAACGTTTGATGTCAGAGTTCATTCATGTACTTGGTAATTAGTAGGATTGTTACAAATATCCAATATTAATGCTAAGATAGAGAATCGTATTCAACATGTCATTATGGAGATCACTAAAGACAGAGCAGTATGATGAGTATTGGACAACTGATGTGACATGCTTTAAAAGTTCTTTATTCTTAAGATATAATTGTTTTAAGATCACTTGCAGTGCCATCTGTAGCTGTTGTTGTTTTTTTTATTATAAATATGTTCTATGTATTGTTTAGAACTTCCTCCACCAATAAGTTAATGTTGAAGCTTATCTTGTACTACATTATGTTTTTCTTTTTTTAAAATTTTTGTTTAACGGTAGTTGAAAGTATTTCTGATATGTCAACCTAGGAGTTCTACCGACCCATGGAAGTTGCTGGACTTCTAACCAGAGAACAATTGAGTGGAATATTCCTAAATCTTGATGAACTGATCATCTTAAATTCCAAGTTTTCTGAAAAACTACAGGATGCTCTTGATATTGCAGCAGAGCAAGGAGATGAGGTATGGAATTTTAATATAAAATTATGTTTAAAATGAAGTTGTATAATAATATCTTTACTTTCAAAAAATAACATAGTGTTGGTAAAAAAAAAAATTGTGTATGATCTTTCGATACGAAAAAGCCCCCCTGTTTTTACTATCAGGTGTATGTTGTATGAATCATGATATTGCAGGAGATTTTCACATTCAGAGGTAGGGCCGGCATGGCCAGGTGGTTAGGGCGCTCGACTCGCAATCTGAAGGTCGTGGGTTCAAATCCCCGTCACACCAAACATGCTCGCCCTTTCAGCTGTGGGGGCATTATAATGTGACGCTCAATCCCACTACTCGTTGGTAAAAGAGTAGCCCAAGAGTTGGCGGTGGGTGATGATGACTAGCTGCCTTCCCTCTAGTCTTACACTGCTAAATTAGGGACGGCTAGCGCAGATAGCCCTCGTGTAGCTTTGCGCGAAATTCAAAACAAACCAAACCAAACATTCAGAGTTGGTTCATGGATTATATATTATCCCAAACAAACAGGTGTTTCTGACAGTTTAAAATATGGATACCATAATTGTATTTTTTTTTTTTTCAATGAATAACACTAGATTTAGTAAGAATGAAGAAATGAATAGAGTAAAACTAAAGTTTTTAGTGCTTCTCCCCCTCTGACGTACTCCACATAATTTCAGTAGTAGGTTACGTATGGTTAAATATAAGATTTTTGGATTTTCTCTTCACTTGAAAAGTACAAATCTGCATATTATAAGGTTAAAATCTTTGTTGATAAATTATTAATCCCATCAAGAAAGATTATGTTCTGTCAAATGTTCCTCAGTTGTTTACAATTTGAGTTTCTTTCTTGTTTTCATTTTGCAGGATTTTACAACTGTAAATATTGGAAAACTTTTTATAGAGTCCACAACCATGTTACATGCTTTTGAAACCTACTGTGTACATCAGGTATGTATTACAGCCCTCCCAATGAACCTTTAAAACCTGTTAGTACCAGGTATGTATCACAGGCCTTCCAAGAAAACTTTAAAACCTGTATAATTGTTGAATGAGCCAATAATAGCCATAACAGCCTTTTTTTTTTCAATGCTTCAGTCTGGAAAAGAAAAATATATTTACAGAAATTAATTTTTTTTCTTCATTTAAAATGTAAAAAACCTGTTTAATAGAAGAATTCACATGTGGCTGCTTCAGAGACATCGTATATAGAAGCTCGAAGAGTGAGTGTAACTAAAAGTATTCAATTCAGATAAGAGGGGTTATCGTCAGTTATTAGGTAGAAGGTGACAAACAACTATGAGATGTATATATATTCAAAACTGGTTCTGTACAAGTGATTATAAGATAGCATCTCTGCCAGAGCGATTTTGCCTGTATTATGTCACATTTAGCCTTTATTTTATAGGCTGGGCACTGCTGGGAGGCCTGGTATTACCAAATGTTTAATTTATTACAATATTGTTTTTTTGTGTTAGTAATTTAGGGTCTTTTGAAATCAGAATCTGCTGCCTAAAATATAAAAATATTTAAAGCTAATAGGATTTTGTAAATTTAATTTGATATACATACCAAGAATCAAAGCTGGTTGCATCAATTTAGTTGTGTGACACAACATTAAGTCAAAATGGTGGCAGAGCAGCTGTTCTCACATTATGGTCTGCTGTCAAGCAGTTTGTTGCAGCCCATTTGAGATACTTCCTGCTGTATATTTCTCTTCTCCAATCGTGTAAGTCAGACAAATCAATTCAATAACACTCTTGTGTAGAGGTATCCAATGCAACACGTCTTCATACACTGCTTCTTTTATAAACACCAGTCCCCCCAGTGGGACAGGTGGAAGTCTACGGACTTACAACGTTCAAGTATGGGATTGGATTCCCTGCAGTGGATACAGCAGATAGCACACATTTATAAACCCCAGTGGCCTAGCCATGCTGTCACTGAGATGGCACGTGTGGTTTCTGTAGATTATAAAAATGGGGATAAAAAGCAAAAGAAGGAAAAGGAAAGCCCTTCAAAGTCTATAATATATTGTGATGCATCTAACAGTACAATAAAACATTTTAGTTTTACATGAATTTCTATATATAGTAAATCATCGTGTGAGACTTACTGCCGTAAGTGGAGCATGTGTGACCATTGAAGGACCACATGTATATCACTCCTTAGAGAACAGATTGAAAACTGCCGTGGGTAGGATACTGGAAACCAAAAGAAATCAACTTTTCTGTGATAATTAAAACTAAGAAACATACAAGATTTCATTACATGAAATTGAGAAAAAGTGCACCATGACATGACGAATTGAACATGATGACAGAAATGATACACATTAAGTGTTGATCATCATAGTGAGATTTAAGATATAATTTCCTGTGGTTTGGTTTGGTGGAATTATTTCAACCTTCCTTTCAACAGGGTTCTGCTTCTCTTGTGCTCCAGAATCTTGAGAAAGAAAAGGAATTGCTTCAAATCTTCCTGCGAGTTTCTCAGATGGAGAACACTCTTCTAAGAAGGATGGATTTAGCATCATTTCTAATGGTTCCTGTTCAGAGAGTCACCAAGTAGGTTTTCTGTATTACCTCTCTAAAAAGTAGTCAAATTATTTACCTTTCCATTGGTCTTTCTCTTCAGGTTTACCAAGTTAGAATCCTGTTTTCCTTTCCAGAAAGTCCACAAGTTAGATTTTTCTCTCTTGTTTTTGCTAGTGGTTTTTCCCTAAACAATTTCACTAAGTTAAGTTTTGTCTCTTTTTTTTCTTTCTAGTGGTTTTTCCCTAAACAATTTCACTAAGTTAGGTTTTGTCTTTTTTTTTCTAGTGTTTTTTCCCTAAACAATTTCACTAAGTTAGATTTTGTCTTTTTTTTTCCCTAAACAATTTCACTAAGTTAGATTTCTTTTTTCCGTTTTAGTGGTTTCTGTCCAAAGAGTCAGAAAATAAGATTTTGACTTTAATGTCTCTACCATTCATAACATTAGCTTTTCACTTACACACAAGTTATTAACTAGTACCATTTGACATAGAATATTTTATCTTTTCTGAAGTAGAACTCCATTTCTGAGATACACTTTGAGCTCTCATTGTGCTGCTTCCTTGCAATAATTGTAACTTGTGAAGAGTAATGTATTGATACATGGTTTCTATAACTTTTAGGTATCCTTTACTGCTGAATCGCTTATATAAAGTAACTCCGCATCACCATCAAGACAGGGGAACGGTGAAAGAAGCTCAACTTAAAGTGAACCTTCATTTGGAACACATTAACCAGGTAGGTTTCTCTTTTAAATTAAAATTTATATTTACTGACTGTTGTCTAGTTTGGTTTTTAACCTCATTTGGGTGTACTAAAATTTATATAGTTTCAATTCAGTTTTTGTTGGCCCCTCAGTGGCACAGCAGTATGTCTGCAAACTTACAATGCTAGAAACCGGGTTTCAATACCCATGGTGGGCAAAGCACAGATAGCCTATTGTGTAGCTTTGTGCTTAACTTCACACACACACACACACACACAGTTTTAACTATTTAAAAAAAAACAACAGACTACTTTGTTCAGTCTTTATCACATTTACTTGCATTTCCAAAAATTATTATTATTTTTTTTATCTAACGTTTGGTTAAAGTCAAGAACTATGTGATATGATATGTAAAGCAGTTGTCATCTTTTAGGCAGCATTTTATTCCCATTAACTGTTAAAAAAGTTTAAAACAAGTTATGTGGAAACATCAGGTAAGAAACTCTATACTGTATTTGCACGTACTTAAAAATAGTAAGGGTGAGATACTTGTTAGGCCAAAACTACTGTGATAATCCCTTCGTATTTAGTGATGCCAGATGGGTCAGCAGTAAGTTTATGAATTCTCAGCGGTGGACACAGGAGATAACCCAATGTGGTTTTGTTCTAAAATAAACAAACAAATCATATTTGGAAAAAATTATTGATTTGCATGCTAGAATAGCTTAGCACTTCAGTTACGGAGTTCCCCTTGCAGTTCAGGTAGCATACTGCAAAATGCCCCATTCCAAACCACTATCCTCAGGGAGGTAACTGTCCGGCAGAGAAACCAGTGTCCTCTTACTTTATTACAAAGTATTATTGTTTTTTGTTTTTTTTTGCAATGAAAATTTTTCCCAAAACATAAAAAATGTATTTTAGGGAGGAAAAGATGCATCATTGCTTGTGATGTTATACTGAAAGAACTGTGTCAGTAGGGGGGGCATCTGTAAAATACTTAAGTAATGTTCATGTTTACTTATCTTGACTTCTGAAAATATATGGTAGTTTTTATATTTTCATAATTATTTGGGGAAAGAATTAAGTAAAACTAAAAACTAAGCATGAAGGAAACAGGATAAACTTTTTTTTTTTTATTGAAAAGCTTTATTTGTAACCATCTGTTCGCACAGTCATTCGTAACCACCTGTATGCAGAGACATTTGTAGCCATCTGTTTGCACAGTCATTCGTAACCATCTGTATGTAGAGACATTTGTAGCCACCTGTATCCTGAGATATTTGTAACCATCTGTATGTAGAGACATTTGTAGCCACCTGTATGAGGAGACATTTGTAACCACCTGTATGAGGAGACATTTGTAACTACCTGTATGTAGAGACATTTGTAACCACCTGTATGCAGAGACATTTGTAGCCACCTGTATCCTGAGATATTTGTAACCATCTGTATGTAGAGACATTTGTAGCCACCTGTATGAGGAGACATTTGTAACCACCTGTATGAGGAGACATTTGTAACCACCTGTATGAGGAGACATTTGTAACTACCGTATGTAGAGACATTT